TTTAAATGCAATATGCCACCAATCAATTAAAAAAAGCTATTATATTGTGTTATTGACTGATGCACAGGGATGGGCCGTTTGTGTTTTCAAGTTCTTTTATTGATTGTTGAAAGAGAGCTTCTAAAACATGAATGATTTGTATTTATAAAAGAGAAATACGTGAATGTTTTATGTTTGTTTCATTTTTTGGTATAACCCTACTTTCACCCTTTGTCACTTTATCTGAGAATTTTTTCATCCAATAGCACTGCAAAGGCTATTGTCAGCAGCCAATCAGAATGTCCAGGAAGAGGAGGTGAATTTGTAATAGAGGCTGGATTGGTTAGAACTCAGTGAGGAGTGCTCTTTGATTCCGTCATTCTTTGTGTGTGGCATTACTGTGTACAGTATTGCTAATTTCTTATTGTTCTCTATCTTGGATTGTGCTACTGGACTCCTGGCCTCTGTGATTCCACCTTGGATCCTTTCCTCTTTTTCCCCTTTGCCCCTTAATTCTGGGGAGACTCTTCCCCTCAATTTATTTGAATTATTTTATCTGCTATCATGAGCACCCTGCCTATTATTTCCCCTCTTTTTTGGGAGGGGGAGTTGGGGATATTATTATTTTCTACCCCTTTCCTTTTATGGATTTTTTTTGCTGCCTGGGCCTGGCCTGCCTGCTAGCGTTTTGCAAAGGTTTTTGGTGTGGGTGGGTGCTTTCCCTGTTTGGTTGATTTTTTTAAAAACAGTGTTATTTGGTTAATTTACCACGTGTTTAATCAGTTAAAAGTGCATAGTTTGGTAGTTGGGAGGCGTGGTTGTTTTGTTTTCCTCTGCTTTTTTGGAGTTGTTTTGAAGGGTTCTTTAGGGCACTGGTTCTTAACCTTGGGTTACTCAGGAGTTTTGGACTGCAACTCCCAGAAGCCTTCACCACCAACTGTACTGGCTGGGGTTTCTGGGAGTTGCAGTTCAAAAACATCAGAGTAACAAAGGTTAAGAACCACTGCTTTAGGGCAGCCATTCTCAACCTTTTTTTAACATGGCCATGAACACAATATGAAATTGAGACCAAATCAAGATTGTATAAGTTGCATAACAAACCTTATAAAAGGTGTGTGAAGAATTGTTTCCAATCTGTGGCCCCCTTCAACTATGCCCCCGTTGAGAATGGCTGCTTTAGGATTTTTGAAATGGCAGAAAACATGAATAGGAACACAAAAAATGAATTACCCTGAAAGGAATTGTTTTAAATCCAAAATAAAAGAACAGGCGCATGAAAATGAAGCATAAATGAAATGAAAACGACATGTAAATAAAAGAGGCACCCCAGAAACCAAAACAAAACAAACACGGAAATCTTTGCCATGCACATCCCTATTTATGTACCCTTGGTACTTTTAACATTAAATAAAATATGTGACCCAGCCAAAATTCAGCATTTCAAAGTCTCACTGAGTGAAGTGAAGCAGATTAGCAGCTTGAAACTATACAGTAGTTGCTTCACTCAAAGCACATCATCCTTCAGAGGGATTTACAGTGTTATACATGTTTACTCAAATGTGTGTCCCACTGTTTTGAATGAAACTTATACCCAAATAAGTACAGATACTTTTGTACAGTTTGGTCTCTCACTGAACCATGGACTAACATATTGTGTCCTTGCTGTTCAGTAACAGTTGAAAAATGTCCTTGTTTCATTCTCCTATTCCTCAGCTTAACTGAAAACTAGAATGTGATTAACTTTACAGAGTTCTCTGCTTCCTGTGGTTATATCTCTTCTTCCTTTAATAACAGAACCTTTTTAAATATTCCAACCAGTTTCCAAAACACCCCATCTTGAGTCCAATCCTGCTTTATCCTCCTCCTAAACAAAAAGATCTGACCCTGTTCCAGGGGGAAGGACACCTGAATAGAAAGCTTGCAGGTTCCAAACTTACCTCAGCTTTAAGTTCTCTCTGTCATTTCTTCATGCAGGATAAGGGAAAGTTGTTTCAACTGGTAGTAACTGTCAAAATTGAATCCTTCTCCATATTTGGGAATATGTGTTGGGCATAGGCTGGTATAACTGAAGCTTCTCTCACAGTGCATATTGGGAATTGTAGTTCCCAATGAAGCACTTGCCTCACAGTACAGAACACTAGATTTAAAGTGGTTTTTCTTTAGCTTCGATCATTACTCTATTGTTTTTGCTTTTCTTCCATATTTTGTATATTTTTTATAATTCCATCTAAAGTATTTTTTTAAATGACTCTATATTTAGTCTCAATTTCCTACTTCCTCTGTAACAGAGCAGTTAAAAGTTATGTTTTGGACTACAACTCCCAGAATTCTTCAAAATGTCACTGGCCATTATACGTATTTGAAAATTGTGACTTTGGACAATGATTGTCCTATAGGGAAAAAAAGACTGCATTTATTTCAGGGTCAGTTGAGAAGGGTGGCAAGTTTGGACAAGTGCTACCATTTTACATTTACAACAAATATCCAAGAAGATCAGATGCTGTTGCTAAGTAGAATTCTTGATCTCCATGTCCCTTTTCTCCCAAGTTAACACCGCTCCTCAGGGTTCCATGTTTGAGAGCCTTCAACATTCTGGAGCCAACACTCAATTTATTTTATTCATACACAGAATCTAATTGGTTGCCTTTAACTGTTGGATAACTCAGTGCTTTAGGCCTCTGGCTATGTGACTGTGCCTCCTTGACAGGGGCTGAACCTGAAAACCCATAGTGTCTCTTCCGGCCCTGCAATTCTAAGATTAATATTAGGGTTTAAGAAAGAAGGCATTTCTCCCCATCCAGAAGGCTAGGCCAAAAGCCTGAGCAAAGGATGGCTCCTGAGCATGCAGTCCTCAAGAACGGGGGGGGGGGGAGATTGAACACAAACGACTCTCTCCCCCTTGGAGACCTTCAGGAGTTAGATATACTTCTGTCGATCCATCCTACTTAATTTGCTTCTAATTTTGAAGGCAAGAGCTTTGATATTACAGTATCTGGGATCCCAAGGAGTTTATTGAAGGAAAGTTTTCTTTCTTCCCCTACCAATGTGCCACTGCACCTATCCTTTGTTGCTCAAGAGCGGAACTGGGGAAAGTTGCACTATTGGATTACAACTTCCAGAATCCAACAACTAATTTGGGGATCATAGGAGATGTTGTCCAACAGTTAATTTTCCCAAACTGTGTTCTACAGCCCTCTACCTCCTCTTATGTTAAGAATTCTTAGGACACAAGTGAGGGGGTATTCAGTGGTAGTAGTGCCTGAACATCAACAACATAGGCTGTTGTCATTCTAAGCACAACTTTATTTTATTTCAAATTTCTTTCAACTCTGCATGGCATTATTGAATGCAGTTTGAATTGCATTATTTTACTATTAATATTGTATTGCTTTTAAACGTATTTCAGATGGTTTGCTTTCTAAACTTTTTGTAGAACTGCTGGATCGCTCAGTGGTTTAGGTGTCTGTCTGGCTACCAAATCAGAAGTTAAGAGTTCAATTCACCGCTATGCCTCCTTGAGACTGGCTGGACTTGATGATCCATAGGGTTCCTTCCAATTCTTCAGATCTAATATTGTTTTTGCTGTTATTGTTGTCATATCTGGAGCTAATGATGATGATGATGATGATGATGATACTACTACTACTACTACTACTACTACTACTACTACTACTACTACTACTACTCTACTACTACTACTACTACTACTACTACTACTACTACTACTAATAATAATAATAATAATAATAATAATAATAATAATATGGTCTAGCAATTATGCATTGTTTGAGCAGCACCTTGTGACTGGACAGAAGAACTGCAGCATTTGAGCACACCGACTCTCACCTAGGGGAGAGACAGGCAGAGACCAGAAAGAAAGGCTCCCAAACAATTTCTGTTTCAGAATCTGTTATCTAGTAGTTTAGGCATCCCTGAAGAACCAGCCCTGCCATTAGGGAGAGTGAGGCAAGGACATCAAGAAGCTCGGTTTGGAGGGTCATGAAGGAGCAGCAAATTGACTGTAATTTAATGTTATTGTTGCTACATTCTTACTGCCAATGACGGGAAGAGGAACTTGCAGGATTTTCTGCCACAGATATACAGTAAAACGATTTCACCGAACCAAGGGTATTGTGTGCCTTGACTTAGTGGTGCTGGATGACATTTGCTTCAGCTAAGTTTTCCCAGTTCAACAGCTCACTGCCAGTCCTATTGGGGGGGGGGGTTTAGGGATAAGATCAGCATTGCTTTGGTTGGGACACCCCCTTCTAGTTCCCTTTTGAAAAAGTGCTATCTCAACCCTTTATGAGGTAAGAAACCAGGCAAAAAATTACTCTGGCAAGCTCTGATTTCTGTCAACTAGCTCTTGGAAGTAGTTCGTTACTGCATAAAAACGTGAGGATAATATTACTTGTTTTTGTTGTTTAGTCGTTAAGTCGTTTCCGACTCTTCGTGACCCCATGGACCAGAGCACGCCAGGTTATTATTACTAGCAGCGGTTGGAATGGAAATTTCTAAAAAAGGCAAAAGTATCTATTCTAGATAGTTTGGTACTTCATACTAGGATGAAAATGTGACATATAAGAATGAGAACAACCAAAGATAGGGTTGGGAGGAATCCGCACATTAGAAAAATCTGGAATTTAGGTGGTGTATTATGCAAAAGGCTGAAGCCGAGGATTAGGTGTGGCTGGAGGGAAATGGGAGTTTTTTCTTGTGTGGGGACTAGGGGCAGCTTTTCAGGGCGGACTTCGTACAACAGGATTTTGGAACTAAAGGATCAGCATATGGGAACTAATCACTAAGAATTCCCTGGAAACGTGATACTTTCGGGAGACCAGCAAAAAAAGGGGGGGCAGGGGAAGAAGAATGCGGATTCAGAATGCTTTGACTTGTAATCATCTCCAGTCTCATCAAAACGCAACTGGGAACCCTCTCCTTCTTGTGTCGCATTATTTCCCGTCACAGGCCGCTTCCTGGTCGTTGTAGGCTAGCCTCCTTCCGGCAGGGCCCTTTTCCCCCCGGCTTGGTTGATAATAACTACTGGACGTCTTCCTCGTTCCATACGAAACTACAGTTCCCAGCACGCTTCGCGGCGTCTCTGGCTCGCCGGCGACGAGACGAGGAAGCCGTCTCTTCTGCGGCCAGTTTTGCGGGGCGATGGTGGTTGTTGTTATTTAGATGTCTAGGGAAGGTGGTCGTCGGCGTTAGTGTCAGGGTTGCTGGCTGTAGGGCCAGGTCTGTTGCATCCTGTCCCGGATACGAAGCATGCATCTGGGGAGGAACGTGTTTCTCCAAAATCCAGCTGCTTCGGACTTCCCCCCTTTGATCCTGAAAGACGGTGCAAGCTAAGAAAAAAAATTGGGGGTGGGGTCCTTAAACCGAGATGGCAGGTTTTGTTCTCTTCCCTTTCCTCTTCTTCTGCGTCTGATGGCGGAGAATCCAGGGTGAGGAAAACAACAGAACCACCCGAATCCTGAAGTATATATAAGGCTTGGTTTCGCAGATCCTGCACGGGTCTGGCCGCCCTTCTTGGAGTGGGACGTCGGGATCCTGAAAGGATGAAGAGGAGGGACGAGTCTTCGTCGTCGGCGTTTGCTGGCCTCGGTGGGGCGGGAAGCCTTTTAAGGAGCAGCGAGCCCCCCGCGCTCTCCCCCGCGGCGTCCCCGGCGGCTTCCTTGCTGGAGGACGCCACGGATCTGCTGGTGATGCAGAGGGATTTCGCGGCCGCCCTGGACAGGTGCGAGAGAGGCTGGCAGAGCCTCCTCCTGGCCGAGCCCGAGGACCAGGAGCGCGACAGGTACGGAGGGAGGCCGACCAACTGTGGGGGGGGGAAGGAGGGGGGGGGGGGGGGGTGGGGGGGGCC